GGGGGGAGGGGGGCTGACTTGGAGTGCCTGACAGAGGAGAAAGAAGGAGCAGCATGCGATCCTTGAGAAGTGAATGCTGAGCTGTGAAGGGAAGGGAGGGTGACAAGAGCGGCAGGATCAGGCAGTCTCCGCATACTGGACCTCTGCAAATCACTGAAGTTCCTCTCTTCGACACTGAGGTTGTCGTGTGTTGACTCTTTCCTCTGCTCCTCCTCTACCAACACCAGCGAAACGCCAGTGTCAACAACCCCTCCTCCACCATCTCCACCACTACCTCCACCACTTCCATCTCCACCTCCACCACTACCTCCTCTTCCTCCTCCTATTACTACTACAGCTACTTCTCCTCCACCACCTCCTCCACCACCTCTTCCATCTCAACCTCCGCCTTCACCTTCTCCTCCTACTTCTCCTCCTTCTCCGCCTCCTTCTCTTCAATCTTTTCATTGATCTCATCTTTCTCCTCCTCTTCTCTGCAGATTGTCGGTGTTTATGGCCTGCGCGCTCTTGCAAATGTTGCATTCTCTCCGAACAAAGTGTCTCTCGACCGCTACGGCAAGCTCTTCGATCCTTCGGCAAGAGGGCAGGTGATCGGAGGAGGAGTCAGGTATCTTCAGTTGAGGATACAAACAGTTCGTCTTCGTCGGCGGAAAAGGAGGAGTCGGAAAGACCAGCACCAGCTCTGCTCTTGCAGTCCAACTTGTAAGTGGATGGTGAGGAGGAGGAGGGAGGGGTTGATGGACACGAGAATGAAAATATGAGGTGGAAAAGGCACGATCAGCAAGTCGTGGTCATGAAGGATGTGGCGGTGGCGATGTTCAGCAGCAGCAGCAGCAGCAGCAGGAGTGATCCATGTAATGATTCAATCCCCTTACAGGCAGACCTCAACATGAAGACTCTGATTGTTTCCACTGATCCTGCCCATTCCCTCGGCGACTGCCTTGACGTGAAGCTTTCTGGGCAGCCAACCCCCGTATGTCCCTCCCACACCCTCCAGCCCGTCTTGCTCCACTCCTGCTTGTGCCCTTGTCTCCCTTCTTTGACTTACCTGTCCTCCTCCTCTCCTCCTCTCCTCCTCTGCTCCTTCTTGGCATACACACCCCTCCTTTGTCCAGCTCTTCCTCCACTTGCTCCTCCTCGCACCATCCTTGCTTCCAGCCAGTGAGACCATCGCAGGTGGAAGGGACCAACGGCCTCCTCTACGCCATGGAGATTGACACGGAGCAGGCGGTGGAAGACTTCAAAGAGAAGCTGAGAGGCATCACCAGGTGACCCAGCAGCTCCCCACCTGTAGTCCACCTCAACCCTTCTCTGCAGCTTCAGCAGCAGATTCGGCGAGCTCGCCAACCAGGTGCCGCAAACTCTCTCGTCTGTTGCCCAGCTGAACGATCCTGTCTCCAGTTGGGCCTGGACGAGTTTGCAGACATCATCGAGACTCCCCCACCTGGTGAATGAGGGTGTCAAACTCCGTGACGTCTGATGGGAGCGACAGGGATTGACGAGATCGTGTCACTCGCCAAAGTGCTGCAGGTCTTGAGGAAGAGGCCCCTTGCCTGCCCCCCTCTCCTCGCTCCTCACCTCTCCCTCTCATTCCTCTTCATCTCCTCTGCCGGGAGATCCTTCTTGATTCTTGTCCTCATTCTCTCTCTCTCCCTCTCTCCTCGTCCTCGCTCTCTCCCCTCCTCTCTTCTTCTCATCGTCTCTTCAGGTGGTGAAGAGCTCCAACTTCGACCGGGTCATCGTCGACACAGCCCCGACGGTCTTCCTGCCTCTTCATCCTGCACCTCCTGATAGCGTGACAGGGGCATACGCTCCGCCTCCTCTCCTTCCCTGAATTCCTCGACTCTTTCCTGCAGAAGGCAAGTGGAGGGCAGAGGCAGGGGGGAGAGAAGAAGGGGGAGTGAAGAGGGAGGGAGAGCATGGAGCTTCGGGCCGAGAGGAGTGACCATGAGCAGGTGCTGGCGTTGAAGCGGAGGCTGGACGGCGCCATCAACACGGCGAAGAGTTTGTTTGGTCTGAAAAGCTTCGTGAGCGGGGATGAGTCGAGGGTGAGAGACTTGATGACGTCAGCACGGGACTGAGAGCAGCAGGACGACATCGAGGACGCTGCTAGGGCGATCGAGCGCTACAGGGAGGAAGCAGAGGAGCTCAGGAAACTTCTTACAGACAAGGTCACAGAACAGCGCTCCAGAAGTTGACTGGAAGGATGACGAGATTTCAGGACCGAACTCAGTTTGTCGGCGTTTCTATTGCTTCGGCCCTGAGCTTTGCTGAGAGCGAGAGGCTTGTACAGGTCTTCTCCCTTTCCTACTTGTCGCTCTCGTTCCTCCCTGTCTACGCTCTCTGCCTTCCACATACTGTCTCTGCTTTCCCCATGTCCTCTCTTCTTTCTTATTCCCTTCCCTTCCCTTCCCTTCCCTTCCCTTCCCTGCTGTCCTCTGCTCTGGTCTCACTTCCTCTCTCCCCATTGCCCCCCGACTGAGATCGACTGTCAGGGGCTCAAGGAGCGCGGAGTTGCGATCGACAACCTGGTTGTCAACCAGCTGCTGGGGGACGCCAGCGACCCCGCGGCCGTCGCGAGGATCGTCAAGGCGCAGGTTAAGCAGCAGGAGGAGCGTGAGGGGTCATGTGACCTGTTGGCAGGCCAAGTGCATCAAAGAGCTTGAGGACTTGTCCGCTAGCGCTCCGCTGGAGCAGCCCGATGCACATCCGGTGTCCCTGCTCCTTTATCCTCCTCGACTACACTAACTTGACTGGCAGATATGGCTGAATCAAGTTCCCTTCTTCGACTCAGAGCTTCGATCGGTCTACGCTCTACGAGCTCTCTCCAACGCTCTCTTCTCCAGCAAGATCTCTGTCTGAAACCTTTGGCTTTATTCATCGGATCACACGCGATGCTCCGAGAGCAGCAATTAGCTTTGACCTGGGCTTAGGCGAGGAAGGGCCCGCCGCCCGTCATGACCTTGATGCACCTGATGCGGTTGGAGATGTAGTTGAAGTTGTCAATGCAGTAGTCAATGTTCGCCTTGTTGTTGATGATGTTCTGGGTGGTGTTGTGCGAAATCAGCTCTCCACTGCAGGCCTCAAGAGCGGCAGCGACAGCCTGACGTACAAAAAAGATTAAAAGTTTGCGTGATGCGCATGAGTGAAGCGAATAGGAGAAAAGATTTGAAGATCAAAGAATGTATGAGAGCGATCAAGAGCATCCACATCGAATCGACAGACAAGGCAGAAATCAAGATAAGAAGTAGGGCAACATGGGATTGAGATGAGTGAAATAGCGATTAGAGGAGAACGATAGAATGAAACCAAGATGAAGCAAGACAACACATGTAAGCATATCATAAAACAACATCGTAGTAGGATAGGCTGAGCATCAGCGACAAGATAACAAGGAACGTCAAGAAGCGGAAATGATGAAGATCCGAACAGGGAGGACGAGGAGAGGAAAAGAAGGAGGACATGCAAGGGAGACGAAAGAGGACGAGGATGAGAAGGAAAGATCAAAGGGGAGAAGCATCTGCTCTCACATCAGGATCCTCCGCTTCATCCAACATCATGAACGGCTTCTCGACGGCCCACATAGCGGCTTGACTGTTCGGAAGAGTCAAACCACCCACCCCAGGAGAACTCGAATATGTGAGGGTGGGGTTGTAACCCCCACCCTCCGGACTTTACAATGGGTGGGACGGGGGTGAAAACCAGGCTGAGTGAGCCTCGGAGAAACTTGACTCAGTCCGACGGCCCGTTGGACCTCCCGGCCCGCCAGGCCGGCCCGGGCTCGGAAGTCTTGCCGGCCCGTAGCCCGGGCGGGCCCGATGGCGCCCCCAGGCCGAGGAAATTTGAGGCTGACAGCTGGGCCCTGAGCTGGTCAAGATTGTCGCGGAGTATCTTCGGTCATGTGCGTCCCGCAGCGGCAAAGAAGCAGCAGAGAGAATAAGAGAGGAGTAGAAGAAGGAGCAGGCAGAGGAGAGGAAGAGGCTGAGGACGGAATGAAAGAGAGAACACAACGAGGGCAGAGGATTCGAGGGCAGTCAGAGAGAGGCGAGGAGGAAGGAGAAGAGAACAGAGGACTTCATTTTCAGAGTTTCATTCACTTGTGAGATATTACTATCAGAGCTTCATTCACTTGTGAGAGATTACTATCAGAGCTTCAATTACTTGTGAGATATTACTATCCGAGCTTCATTCACTTGTGAGAGATTACTATCAGAGACATCAAAGTCACGCAAGCCGTTACGACCAGAGCAGAAGGTGTCTGGATTGAAGATTGGGACGAAGGTGCGGGGGGGGAAAGAGCAGGAGCAGGAGCTGGAGCTGGAGCTGGAGCTGGAGCTGGAGCTGGAGCTGGAGCTGGAGTAGAAGAAGCTGGAGCTGGAGTCGTCGGAGCTGGAGCTGGAGCTGAAGTAGAAGAAGCTGGAGCTGGAGTCGTCGTTGTCACCTGTTCTCCATCGCTTTGGACCGTCGGGAGCCCACGGGCCTTGAGGGCAGCGTTCAAGGTCGAGGAGCTGACGTCAACGTTCTCGTTGTTTGCTAGCGACACCTCCGTGACTACTCGGACGCCCGTGGCAGCGCGACGCAGCGTCACCGACTTGACTTCCACGACCTTGACCCGTGACGTCGGCACTCCTGCTGCGCGTGCGAAGCTCTCGATGAAGACGGCCTCCTTGCTCCTGAACTCGCTCACTGTCATGGCCAGCACGAACTCAAACCTCTTGCTCTGATTCAAGACTGCTTCCCCGCAGGTTAGCTCTGCCGTGCATGCCTGCAGTCCCGTGTCTCGCAGCACTGACGTGGACCAGGCCGGGTGGTAGCAGGAGAGCAAAGGATTGTTCCTGAGGTCGATAGAGATGTTGGGCAGCTTGTCGAAGGCTCTCGAGGCGACGCAGGAGAGGTTGTTGTTCCTAAGGTCAAGCACCTTCAAGCTTGACAAGTGCTCGTCGAAGACTCCACTAGGGATGCTTGAGATGCTGTTGTACGAGAGGTTCAGCGAAGTCAGGTTCGACAGCCCGCTCAACACTCCTTGTTCCATCTTCTTCAGCTGATTGAAAGAGAGGTCGAGATGCTCCAGCCCCGGTACCCCGTCGAACGTCCAGGCAGGAAGGCTGGCGAGAGTGTTGTTTCCTAGCCCCAGCCTCTTCAGTGCAGAGAGGCCGTTGAAGGTGCCGGGTAGCAAGGAAGCGAGCTTGTTCCTGGTGATGTTGAGGATGGTGAGCATGGAGAGCCCGCTGAAAGTGTTCTCATCGAGACTTGACAGCTGGTTGTGAGAGAGTGAAAGCTCCGTCAAGTTCGTCAAACCGGGGAAACTCGAAGCTGCAAGCCCAGTGAGCGTGTTGTTGTGGATCCCAAGAGCCTGTAAACCAGTGAGACCGCTGAAGGACCACGAGGGCTTCCCAGCAGCAGAGTTGTTGAGGAGGAAGAGCGTCTTGATGTTGGAGAAGCCATTGAAAGCGCCTGGAGGGATGACGGTGAAGTTGGTGAGACCCAAGATGAGAAGCGCGACATTCTTCAACTCCTTGAAGTCCTCGGAAGACAAGTGCGACAAGTTATACTTCCCCAGCGCGAGGTTCTGCACGTACTTGAACCTGCTGAGAGCTGAAGCAGCCGCTGCCGTCAATCCTCGCTGAGTAGTATCGTATAGGCTCAAGAACTGCAGTTTGGTGAGCTGGTTGCTGCTGCTGCTGCTGGAGAGATTACTGAGGCAGCCGGTGTCGAGTGCAAGATTTTGCAACTGAAGGAGATCATCGAAGACGCCGGGGGGGAGACTTTGCATCGAGTTGTTCACCATATCCAGCTCGTTGAGACTAGAGAGGCCCTGAAAGACGTTGCTGGGTAGCCGAGTCAGTGAGTTGCTTGACAGTATGAGTGACTTGAGTCTGGTGAGTCCCATGAACGTGCCTGGCAAGCTTGAGAGCTTGTTGCCCATGAGGTTGATGTGAACCAGATTGCTGCGATTCTGAAACACTCCCGATGGCAGACTCGACAAACTGTTCATAGCGGCGTCAAAGTACTGGAGACGAGGGGTGTTGTCGAAGATTCCGTCAGGCAGCGACTGGAGCTGATTGTAGGACAAGTATACTTCTCTCAGCTTCACAGTTTGATTGAAGACTCCACTCGGCAGGCTCGACAGGTTGTTGCTTTGCAAGTTCAGCCAGTCCAAGGCTGTCAGATTGTCGAACAGCCCTTGAGGAACAGTCGAGATGCTGTTGTGTTGAAGATAGAGCGTTTGCAAGCTGCTAAGGTCTTGAAACGCACCTGCCTCGATGCTGGACAAGAGATTGTTGTAGGCATACAAGTACAACAACTTTGTCTTATTGCGGAACTGCTCTCCTCTCAGAATAGTCAGTCTGTTCTGAGAGAGATCGATGTTCATCAGCTTCGTGAGGCTCTTAAAGCATCCTTCAGGGATGCTTGCCAGCTTGTTGCGGGACACAGTCAAGTAGGTCAAGCTATGGAGATCGTCGAAGACTCCGACAGGCAAGCTTGTGAGCTCGTTGTCCATCAATTCAAGGATGCTCAAGCTGACCAGGCCTTGAAACATCCCGCTTGTCAGACTTGGCAGCTTGTTGTGAGATAGATACAGATACATCAGGCTTGTCATGTTTCTGAATGATCCTTCAGGGATGCTTGCCAGCTTGTTGCTGGATAGAGACAAGTACTCCAACTTATTGAGGTCGTCGAAGACTCCGAGAGGCAAGCTTGTGAGCTCGTTGCCTTGTATTGAGAGAGTTCTTAGGCTGACCAGGCCTTGAAACATCCCGCTTGTCAGACTTGGCAGCTTGTTGTGAGATAGATACAGAAACATCAAGCTTGTCATGTTTCTGAATGATCCTTCAGGGATGCTTGCCAGCTTGTTGCTGGATAGAGACAAGTACTCCAACTTGTTGAGGTTGTCGAAGACTCCGAGAGGCAAGCTTGTGAGCTCGTTGAGGAAAACTTCGAGAGTTCTTAGGCTGACCAGGCCTTGAAACATCCCGCTTGTCAGACTGGTCAGCTTATTGTCGGATAAGGACAAGTAGGTCAAACTTGTGAGGTTCTTGAAACATGCTTGAGGAACGCTTGTCAGCTTGTTGCCAGACAGAGACAAGTAGGTCAAGTTCTTGAGGTCGTCGAAGACTCCAACAGGCAAGCTAGTGAAGTTGTAGCCGAGCACACGCAGTTCCTCTAACATGCTAAGGCCGTCGAACACTCCAGGGGTCAAGGTGGAGATGCTCGTGCCGTGCTCAAGCGTGAGCGTCTTGCAGCCGTCGCAAGTAGTTTCTCGCCGTGTCAACACGCCAGTCTTGGAGACATCGAAGTTGCAGGTACCGCACGTGTAAGAGCTCTGAGCTCGAACCTCTTCCATCAACGAGCTCGCCAGCATCGCTAGAAGCAACCATCGCTCCCTTGCTCGCATTGCGACAGATCCCTTGTGGAGCCACCGTAATTTGGCAACTTCTTGTATGGGTGGGGTGGTGAGATTTGTTCACTTTTAGTACTGCAGGTTTAGTTGACGAGGCTACGTGTGTGTGAGGGGGTGGGGTGGTAAAAATGACCAGGCTCTACCGGTTGCCACTGAGGTTTCCGCTCGAGTACCCCCCCATTCTCCTCTTTCAGGGCATCAGACTACCCCTCGTTCCTTGCATTTAAATTCCACCTGCGATTCGGAGCCACCGGCCGGCCGCCGCGCCATGGCCCGGTCATGAGAATATATTGTAGTGTCTGACAGATGCCGGACACGAGCATAAGGTCTTGTCCGGCAGGGAGGGCAAAGTTGAGTAAATATTTAGAGGTGTAAGATGTAGTCCGATATACACTTTTGTAGTTTTTTGAGAGGTTTAATGCTTTTCACATAAACTTCTTCCGAATATGACCCCTACCCCACCAATAGACTAGTTCTAGTTTTAGGCCTAACGCAAGCGAAAGTCTTGCTCTCTTTGAAAACATGGAAAGAACACCTGGGCTGAAGCCTTCTAGACTCCATCTCTCTTCACTGTGCACATCCTTGACGTGCAATGTTGTCTGTAGTACTCCCTCAGATCTCGCCGCAAGTCAGAGCCTCGGAAGTCGCTATTGTACTTGTTAGAAGAGTCTCATTCTTTCTTCCGCACTCCTCCCTACTCGTCCCCTACACAAGATCAACAGCCCGCTGGTTTCGCATGCTGTCGCTCGTCCTCCTCCTCCTTCCCCTCCCTCCTCCTGCCCTCCCGGCGCCGCTGGTGGAAGATCAAGGACTGCACGTCCAGGAACGAAGGCCGCTCCTCCGCGCTCCTGCACATGCAGGTCTGCGCGAGCTCCCACACGTTGTCGCTGCATCCCTCGGGCTTCTCCAGCTGCAGCGAGCCGTCAGCAACGCCCTGGAGCACGTGACAGTCGCTGCTCGTCTTCCAGTAGGGGATGAACTCCGCGTAGCCCAACAGCTCCCACGCCATCACGCCGAATGACCAGACGTCGCTCTTCTTCCCGAACCTCATCCTGTTCTTGAGAGCCTCCGGTGCGGTCCAACGCACTGGAAAGGACGTGGAGGAGGAGGAGGAGGAGGAGGAGGAGGAGGAGGATGCGGCAGCTGCGGGGTAGTAGTAAGGGCCGTTGCGGCTCAAGCCGAAGTCTGCGACTTTAACTTGGAGCTTGAGGGGGGAGGAGGAGAAGGAGGAGACAAGGATGTTCCTGAGGGCAAGGTCGCGATGAAGAATGTCCTCCTGGTGCAAGGAGATCATGCCGGCGGTCACTTGGAAGAGGATGTCGAACAGCAGCGCCTCCTCCTCCTCTCGATCCGCGCAGAGGACAGCCCTATGCTGCTCGGCAAACACGTCGAGCGACCCGAACTTGGCGAGCTCAGTCACAAGAAGGCGCTGGTTGTTCCACCGCGAGGCCCCGCAGAACCGGACAAGGTGCGGGTGCCGCGCGAGCCTCTGAAGTATTCTCTCCTCGTGCTCGCTCTCCCCCTTCCTCACCAGCAGTATCGCCACGTCCTTCCCGTCCAGGATCCCTCGGTACACCGTCTTGTCCTGTCCTGCCCCGATGCAGGCGCTCTTGAGCTGGTGCGACTCAGCAAGAGGGAGAGGAGGACAGTCAGCGAGCTGCTCAAAGCTCAGATCCTCACAGCCCTTGATGGGACTGGAGACGTTGAGCAGGAGACGGTGCGGGACCACAAGCTCAAGGCTGCTACTGTTGCCGTCGAACATCCTCCTCCACTCCTCGATGGAGTTCCTGAGCGCGAGGTTGGTCAGGAGATCCTTGTTGGGAAGCTGCTGTCCAGTCAGGGGGCTGCAACAGCTTCGGGTCAGCCACTCATGGATCAGCTCCCGCTCGTACGTGTGCCCGTCAGCTGTCAGAACAGGATCGCGCATGATATCGAGGGTGAGAGGGCAGCGGAAGGAGTCCGGGACCTCCGCCTCCTCCCCTCGCTTCCTCTTCCTCAAGTCCTTGTTACCTCCTCCTCCTCCTCCCGCTCCCTCCCCGTCAGGTTGTCGTCCTCCACGCCTCCCCTCCTCACTTCGTCCCTGCATTTGCTCGAGGATCCATTCGTCGATCAGCTGCTCTTCCAGCATCCTTGTCTGCGATATCTCCTGATCTTCTGCCATCGCATCGCTCTGCTCCCTCCCTCCTCTCGCCTGTTGCCGTCTGATCTTGTCCTGGTATCTCTTGCAGCAGGCGAGACATCCGTTCTGCTCATGGAGGAGAAAAATGAGGGAAGGGAGGAGCAGGAGGAGGAGGAGGAGGAGGAGGAGGAGGAGGAGGAGGAGGAGGAGGGAAGGACCGGGAAAGGAAAGGGGAACAAGCAGGAAAATCTGAGAAAACGAAGAGGTTGATGGAGACGAGGAGGAGAAGGGAATGGCACAAACCGACAAAGATGGGGAATGATGGGAGGTACACGAAGGACAGTGAAATGAGGATGAAGATAAAGGAGGAGGGGAAAAGCATAGCAGAGACCTTGACTTGCTGCAGCCATCTCGAAGCCTTCCCGCACTGCCCTCCCCACCGTAAGATTTCATAGGAGATGAAGAACAGACGCTCACGTTCTACATGTAGTGCTTTCAGATCATTGACAATCAAACGCAACAGACTTACACAACACTATTCGTCGTGTTGGATTTGCAGCAGGAGAAGGTAAAGTGACGGTCATCAGAGGATTGGAGAAAGTGATTCAGAGTATCGTACCCGCTGCTCTTCGCCAAAGTTGACAGTGGAAGTGTTTTCATGCAATCACGTTAGGGTACAGGAGAGCAAGGCTGCAAATACTTACATCCTGTTGACAAAGCATGACAAGAGATCGCAAGGAAGAAACATTCCATCACAAAGGAAGAAACACAACAAGGCAACATGAGAAGTTACCCGCTGTTGAGGTCAATGTGGACACCAAGCGCACATTGAGATCAGCTTATAAGAAGACTTCAGCACATGCAAGCTCACCTCCTGTACAGATAGCAGAGAATCGCAAAACAAGAAAGAGAAGAAGTCAGAAAGAACAAGGGAGGGTTGAGATCAACACTCACACTCTGATGGAAAGCAGGAGGAGCCAGATTGAAGGAGAGCAGACGACAGGGTCAGAGTTCAATGTCGAGACAAGTTGTTGATTCACCGTCTGTTCGAAAGGGAGGACAAGGAAGACAAGACAACAGTCAACAAGAAGTAGGCAAAACATTCGCTGACTCACAAGCTGATGATTTGTAGAAGCGTTGAATTCGATTAGAGTCAGAAGCGAAACATCAGCACTCATTCACTGCATCTGCACTTTGATCTCACCAGCTTTGTAATTTCCACCACCAGCCAAGATCATTAGTGAGGAAATCATTAGCAAACCAAAGCATTGAGAATGTTCCTTACCCACTGATCGTAAGAGTTGCAGGCGACGATTTCCACCAAACAAATCAAGTAAGCAATGAAATGATGATGGTTTGTTTTCGGAGACGACAAAAGTTTGATCTAACCTCCTGAAACAGTCAAAACATTCAGGCCCGAACAAACTAATGGACAAAGAGCTCACAGACTGGCGATCGACGATGAAGTCCCCGATGAAAGACAAGGTTGATGTGAATTCATACAGAGAGAGTTTGACAAGAAAAGCAGAAAATCAGAACAACATTTCCATGAAGCATTGTCAACTCAAAGAAAAGTTTCCTCACCCACTGATATCACCAAGATTGTTGAGAAATGCGCAAATCACATCACAAGTCAGAGGATCTCGTCATCGTTCCAATTTTTCTCTGCTCACGTAGCAAAACTTGTAGGGTGTGTAATGATTGAGTTCTGTCTTGGCGCACTCCTTGCAACGATTGCCGCTTCCAGCTTCATAAGAATACTGCCAACAGAGGAGGGAAGGGACAGGGGGTGTGGAAGGAAAGGAAGAAGAGTACGAGAATGATGTTGTTGAGAAGGGAGAAAACAAGAAAGAGGATGAAGATGAGGAATGAGGAATAGAAACAGGATGATGAAGGAGGGAAGGAGAGAGGGAGAGAGGGAGGAGAAGACAGAGAATTAGCTACCCCTTGCATTCATATCAAAGTCCCTTACAAGCTGATCCATTGCAGTCATCGATGAGATTCACATATGAACAAGTCAGCAAGGGCTCTGCAGATGATAACAGCAGACAACTGCTCCTCACCCACTGTTGTTGCAGAATACAAAACAACAGTCAGCAGGCAATCGAGACGCATGTCATAGCTCACTTGCTGGAGGATGGAATCGACGCGTCCAGCGAGACGAATCCACCACATCGGCTAGTCAGATCCTTTGCTTACGAGCAGATCAAGAGAGGAGGACGGAAAGGACGAGGACGAAAAAGTTGAGGAAGAAAAAGAGCAGGTGATGTTTGTGGGGAACGAGGAGCAGAGAGCAACAACAGCAGAATGGAGGGAGGAGGTGAGGAGGGAGTAGGGAAAAGGGAGGAGGGAGGAGGGAGGAAGGGTGAGGAGGGAAGCGGGAGCAGAAGACAAAGACATTCTAGAAACAATAGTGGAACTCACAAGCTGTGCATTGTACAAGTTGTTTTGATACGGACCCAACCACAAGAACCATCGTCAGTGTAGTCTAGTGGGATGCAAGGACGGAGATCAAAATTCACCCCCTGTGAACCCGTCGTTTGTGAATCGTAGGAGAGCAGGAAGGAGAAGAGTGTAAGTAGAACGACAGATGGGAAAACAGTCTCACAGCCTGAAAGAGCAACGTGAGATAAAACATGAAAAGATTGGGACTTACGCATTTGTCTTCGTCTTTTGTTCGGGGAACAATCTCAATCTGTGGAGGAGGATGTTGAAATAAAGTCGACACGGTAGGGAAGGAAAGGACGGTGGTGGTGATGATAATGAATATGATGGTGATGGATATGATGTTGATAATAAAGGGACGGAATTCTGTATATTTACCTTACAGTTTGAACATTTTGAAGACATCGTGCGAATTTCAGCGAAATTTCCTCGAGGATTTTAGGAGCTGGACGATTGCGGAAGTGAGAAACAAAGAGAATTGAAGTGAAATGAGAAAAGCGATACCAGACAGATAGCAAGGAGAGGAGAGGAGAGGAGAGGAGAGGAGAGGAGAGGAGAGGATACGAGGAGAGGAAGGGAGGGTTCAAGGTCATCACGACACTGCAAGGAAGAGCATGCACGCTCCCCTGATGAGTGCTGACAACGTTCGGATGCGCTTCAACGGATCAGCATGGCAGGTGCCGAAGCCAGGGATGCCGGTTGGAGTTCCTTCGGACCACTTCAATGGAGCGAGACGTGAAGGGAAGAGCGCACAAGGCAGGCAGGAGAGCTCCTCCTCTCCTCCTCACGTCAGCCCCGCGCACCCTAAGCCATCCGCAGCAGCGTTCGGGGAGAGATCATCTCCCGCGTTCTTCCACCAAGTTCAGCTGGAGGAGGGCAACAACATGACCGCAAGGTGCGTCGTCATGAACGCAGCGGGGGAGAGGCCGATCATCTGCCTCCATCCCGTTGAGCGGGACATTCACGTCAGCGGCGAGCTCATGAGGAAGGGAGTGTGGGAGGCGCATCTAGTGCACCACTTCATCAAGATGCTCAAGAGCAACAGAGACGCGGTTGTCATTGATGTTGGGGCTCAGTTGGGAATGTACAGCCTGCTGGCGGCGAAGAACGGCCACCGGGTGCTGATGGTGGAGCCGCTGACGTCCAACGTCGACCGGATCCTCCTGTCGCTGAAGAAGAACGGCATGTCGAGCCGGCTGAACCGAGACGTGCTGCTGTTCAAGAACACGGTAGCTGATGTCGCTGGGAAGCAGTTCAAAACCGTCACGTCGATCGCCGACAACGTAGGGGGGACGCAGTGGGGGGAGGCAGGGGCGAAGGGAGGGGACACGGTGACGTCCATCACGCTGGACATGCTGCTGCCAATGCTGACAGGCAGCAAGTCGCTGCTGATGAAGCTGGACATCGAGGGAGGAGAGTGTAAGGCGATACAGGGAGCTCGAGAGCTGTTCGCGGGCAAGAGGGTGATGGCCGTCTTCATGGAGTTCGGCCAGCTGAAGCAGCAGATTGGGAGGTTGTCGCCCTGCTCAGTGAGCAGCTCGATGCAGGTGCTGCATGACAGCGGGTTGACGCCGTTCGATCCCTCCGGGGGCAAGCTGAGTTGCTGTCAAGATACCGATATGAGGAGGTGGGGATGGGACGTGATATGGAGGCGAGTGTAGCGAAGAGAAAGGCTCTCGAACTGCTACAGGTTGGGTGATGTTCAACGGGAGGCAAGGAGGAGAATCAAGAGGAACCTGAGGAGGGAGGGAAGGAGGAGAGAATGAACACAAGCAAGCAAGAAAGTCTAAGTATGGAAATCGACATCAAAGTTGCATCAAATTTTACAAGCAAGCGAGACATGCGATTATCTCTCCTCCCTACATCCTCCTCTACCTCTCCTCTAGTGTACAAGATGTCTACAAGCCCCGTCGACAGCATCCCGATCGACTCTACTCTCCTGGTTCTGCTTCCGCCTCTGCCTCTTCCTCCTTCCCTTCTCCATCTTCTCCTTCGCCTCCTCCTCCCTCCCCTCCGCCCTCCTGCGATGAAGTCTCGGATCGCTCTTTCCGCTCGTAAGCAGGTCCCTCCATCCACTCCGAGTCGTCCACATCCTACAGAATTCACCAGTCAGTCGCTCCTCCTGCTCCTTCCTGCTGCTGCTGCTTCTCCTCCTCCTCCTCCTCCTCCACCTCCTCCTCCTGCTCCATGCTGCTGCTGCTCCTTCCTCCTTCATGTTCTGCTCTGCTCCTGCTCCTCGATCTTCTTACTCATCCCAAGTTTTAGGTAGATCAGGAGGAGCATCTTCATCTGAAGGCAATGCTCTGTCATCCACTTACATA